GTGCAAGCTGATGAAGCTGAAAACATCTGTAGCTTGGACAGCTTGGGGTGTCTCTGAAGATGGCCAGCTGTACAGTCCAGTGGTTGATAAAGGAGTCCTCGGAGTGAGTGGACGTCTCTGAGGAGCTGCTGTGCCACCTGGGGCTGGACATCCAGTTGTCCCGTGTAAAGCCATGCATGTGCCGTTAATTCTGTGATGCATTTACCATCTGCTTGGTCCAGCTGGTAGAAACCACATGTTGACCAGATTGTATCAGAGATGCCGGATAATCAGTGCAAACTCTGCTGCCAGAAAAATCCTGTCTTTGTTACCTGCAGAAGAAATGGAGGAAAACTTCTGGAACCAAAAATGGCAGTGGAAAAGATGCCACCAGATAAACCTCCATTTACAGATGTTGGAGCTGATTGTGCTTTTCATTTGAAAGTGTTTCATGCCCTGGATGCCACTTCTTGTAGAAATGTAATCAGAAGATTCATCTGCAGGAGTGGTCCAGTTTCTTTCATCAGGTCAGATGATGAAAGATTGCAAACTGTTTTCTGTGAGGCTGAAGCCATTCTGAATGACAGACCCATCACTTTGATCTCTGATGATCCAAATGATTTAGAAGCTCTCACGCCCAATCACATCCCTGTGTTGAAGAGCAAACTTGTTCTGCCACCTGGACTGTTTCAGGAACAAGACCCGTACCTCAGACGCAGGTGGAAGCAAGTACTGCATATGGCTGGAGCTAATCTAAAATCTAAAAATTCAGTTAAATTTATAGTTTAGATTATTTAGTTTATTTTTATTTTTTGCTTATTGTCTAGTTGATTTATAATTAGAATTTTTGTTTAATTTATTTAGAGTAAATTAGTTGGTTAGTGTTTGGTAAAACTAATCATTGTTTTATCATTTTATTTGAGTGTTTTATCTAAATGTGTTCAGTTACCTAACTGGCTCTGACCAGTGATTCTTTAAGGTGCTTTCTTTATCTATAATGTAATTTTCTACTCAAGGGGTCCTTCTGTTCTGTAATCTCAGCATTGTTCTACTGAAGAAGGTCATCATAATAAACGCCAGTTCCCAAGCAGAGTTGAGTAGATCTTTGATCCTGTTAGAGGTTGTGGATCTCTCCCTTTGCAAAGGAAGGCATAAAAACCTCATTGGTCTTGTGTCTGGTCCTTTACAGGTCTTGAGCTAATTTTAAAAAATCCCAACAGTTAGTAATTCACTTAATTAGTTCATTAATTTCAGTTGGCATGTGGGTGTTTCACGGTATAAATAGGTAGGTGGGTTTTAGGTAGCTCATTATGCACGTGGGTGGTCATAAGGTTTTTTTTTACCAGTCTATGGAATCAGTCACTAGTCTCAGTCATCAGTCTGTCAGTCAGTCGGTGAGAGAACAGGTGCAGGAATCAGAGCAGGAGAAGAAGCAGAGTCCTGCGATGCCCGTAACTCGTTTTGCCTGAACTGTGGAATAAAACAACCAAAGAACTGCATTTTTAACTTTTTTGATCCTTTTGAATACGTAAACCAGGAACCCACGGTGCGTCACGTGACTATTTGAGTTGGATTCACCTTTTGTTTTGATCACCTTTTAATTTCTGAGTTTTTTTTTGTTCTTTCTTTGTTTTTGAGTTTGAGTTTTCGACAAATAGTCACTACACAACTGCTAACAGTTCTTGGAACTGTCTTACAAAATGTTGCAAGGGTATTACTGCTGCTGTCTTGTTTTAATTTTTTTTTTTTTTCCCCCGCAGTGGTTACAGCAGCCCAGGCCAAGAATCTGATTGATGCCGGTGTGGATGCTCTGAGGGTTGGGATGGGTTGTGGCTCCATTTGCATCACGCAGGAAGGTACTCGACAACTGAGCACTCACATGGCAATGCAGTAAAGTTTGCAGTCCGCTCATCAGTTGCAAAGCTACGGGACTGCAGGTCCACTACAGCAGACTGTCCTGCTCTGCATCACCTGTACTTATTTATTTTCTTAAATTCCTTTTAGTGATGGCCTGTGGGCGTCCTCAGGGAACGTCTGTGTATAAAGTAGCAGAGTACGCGAGACGTTTTGGCGTGCCGGTGATTGCGGACGGCGGTATTCAGACTGTGGGCCACGTGGTGAAGGCTCTGTCTCTGGGAGCATCGACTGGTGAGGCCCAAATGTTTACCAGGAGAAACAGCCCCCCCCCGTCCAATTTCCAGCTATTTCATAGCACCATTTGAATACCTGTTATCATACCACGTGTGAAACCTCTTCCAACAGTTATGATGGGCTCCCTGCTAGCTGCGACCACCGAGGCTCCTGGAGAGTACTTCTTCTCAGACGGCGTGCGACTGAAGAAATATCGGGGTATGGGGTCTCTGGATGCGATGGAGAAAAGCACCAGCAGCCAGAAGCGCTACTTTAGGTGTGTGGGAGCTAAAAAGTCTTAAACAGAAACGTTATATTTGGGTGAAGTGAGTCTTGACTGGGTGATGTGTTCTCTTCAGTGAGGGTGATAAGGTGAAGGTCGCTCAGGGCGTGTCGGGCTCGGTCCAGGACAAAGGCTCCATCCATAAGTTTGTACCATACCTCATAGCTGGAATCCAACATGGCTGCCAGGACATTGGAGCAAAGAGCCTGTCTGTCCTCCGGTGGGGTTTCTTTCTGTTTTACTTGGAGCACGCGTGCAATATTTATGTATACTACATTAAAATAATTGGATTTTTCTTTTTCTTAGTTCTATGATGTACTCTGGGGAGCTGAAGTTTGAGAAGCGAACTATGTCCGCACAGGTTGAGGGAGGCGTTCATGGACTACACTCGTAAGTAACTTCAATAACTCCAAAATATATTCAATTTCTAGAATTGAGTTCTTTAGCTCTTCAGCCTCTTGACGGTTTCTATATCGAGGCATATTTTTTTTGAAACACACATTCATCGAGCCAGAACCAGAGGCTCGATGAATTCGTAACATGACTGTGATTCTGCTCACAGCGAGACTTCAAATTGACATTTTATACTAAGCACATTTCTGAGGTCTGGCTTTAAGCTGAGTGACATCCTCCAGACTAAATGCTGATCTTTTTGTTTCTTTGCCTCCACAGTTATGAGAAGCGACTTTACTAAACGGAACTTAAGGAAGAGTGAAGGAGATCCAATCTGACGGTGACCAAATGTTTTCAAAACTTCTGCCAAAATCCGCAACAACACCCTCTCTGCTTCCTCTGCGTTAAGCCCACTCGCTCACTGATCACAAAACGGCTGATTCGGAGTAGAGGGTGGCATCGTAGCAAATGGAAAATCTTCAAACCTACACCGACTCTGAACACCTCAGACTTTGCTCTTAAGAAGTGGCGCATCAGGGTTATTGTTAGTCTTTATTTTTGTTTGTTTGGTTCATGAGTGTGCAGCCCCACACCAGGTTCGTGTGCGTGAGGCTGATGGTCGTGTGAACTCCAGGTTGCGTGAGGTTACAGTAAAGTCGGGACGGAGTAAAGGCGCGCCGTGTTGTCTTTGTCCCGTCAGAAACGGCCGTGGCGCAGATCAGCGGCGTCTTTTTGTGGCTCGCTTTGGGTCCCACGCCTACCAGCAAACGCGCCGCCTGAAGCGTAACCCATCCCCGTTCAGCAAGACACACCGACGTGTGCGTCTCTCTTTGTGCACCGTGCCAGTCTGGGACGGCAAACCTTTCCGAGTAATAATTTTAGGTCATTGCAGATGTATGCTGCTCGTGTTACAGCACATGTTATTTACTTGGTGTACAGTGCGTTCTTACAATTGACACGTTTGTCATCATTGTTAATCGAATCAGAATAGTGGGCGGATCTGCAGTGGGGGCTTTTATTTTTGTTTTATTTCCTTTTTTCCTCTTTGGAAATTCAATCATTCTGAGCCAAATAGCCAGTGCCCAATCTCAGTGTTGTTGGTGTATTTAACATGGAGGGCACCAAAAGCTAATGAACGTCAGATTTGTGTAGGATGTATAATGGGTCAATCATAAAGACTTAGTCAAAGTGGCTTTTTCCTTGTTCGTAATCTGAATATTTTTTTCAGAGAAAACTCTTTATATTAAACCAGTAGAGTCCTGGCGACTTTGATTTCAGCTGGAAGGTTTTGATTTTTTTTTTTCACTGAGCCAAGCGAGGCTGTTTGTATTCTGCTTAGATCGCAAAAATACTGCCAAGTGTATCTACACTTCTTTTTATTTTATTTTATTTTTTGTTTTTAAACCTTGATACCAAAACCGATGCGGCAGTTAGCTCATCTGTTTCTTTCCTGTCAGGCATGGATTTGTTGCTTTTTTAATCTGTTCACCAGAGGTATGCCTTGAAATAGAGATGGACACGTCGGCTCGGTGAATGGCGACACGTTCTTGCCACATTTTGTTTGAGTATCTTTGTTCGTCGTTCAGTTGACGTTGGAGTTGGACGTTGTTCAAAGTGGATATCCTTGCCATACTTTTACTGTACGTTTTTAATTTGTTCTCTAACCCAATGAAGTTTCTCCATCCCACACCAGGTGAACTAACAGTGCTTGCAGCGACAATGACTTTCAAGAAAAATGTACATGACTATGACTGAAGAAAGCAAATGCCTACAAGTTTGAAGAAACTGCTGTTTATTTTTCCCAGATTCCCTATTTAAAACAGGTCATTCAGCTGTCCAGAATGTCTTAATTGTGAAGTACTGAGTCCTGTTAGTCCATCCACAAAGCACAACCGACATTTTATTAATGTTTCTCCTCTGTATCAATTTCAGTTTTCAGCGATTGTCGACAGTGACACATTTTGCAATCAAAAAACCAAATGTTCTCTCTCCTTTTTTTTGTAAACTGATGGGGAAATCTTCAGTTATTATCCATCAGGGGATTTTGAGGAAGATCACGTTAGGATATGTTTACAGTAAAAACACTCATAAGAGGAAAGTTGCTTTTGCTGTTTTTGATATGTTAAAAATAAATAAATACAATACTGTGCATGAGCTCCTGTCATTCTTTTCTTTTCAATCAGATTTAGGTTTAACTTTAAGAAAAAGAAGACAAATATTTAACGCTTTATTTCAACTTAAATTAATATGCCAGTCAGAGGATTGTACAGTGCTGTGTACAGTAGGTCTCCTTTTTTTTTGTCACACAGAAATGTTTTGGATAATCAAACGAAATATTTCTGACAAAGATAACTAGAGTAAACTGAGAACCCAGTAATCAAACTTTGATTTAGTAAAGGAAACTAGCTAGAGAAACCAATCTATGTTAGAACATGAATACGCTGTTATTAACACAATTATTGATTCACTTTATATTGGGGTTAAAAATCCTGGCGATCTCAGAGTTTAGGAAAATAATCTGCAAGCTGGTGAGACCAGAGCTCCCCACACAGGGGTGCTGCAAGCCTGGCTCAGAGCGGGTCCCCGAGGGCTGACCGTCTTCGAAGCGCCACGGAGGATGGGCCGAGTTTTCAACCACAGTGGTCGGCTTACGCAGAACTCCCTGAAGGGGCCCCATTTCTCGAACCCTCAACTGGCGCAGCTGCGACTTGTCAAAAATATGGAGAGCGGCATTTTCAACGTAAGTGTACCTTTTTAGTGTTATAAAATATCCCGACAGAAATTAACACATGTGGTAAGTAGTGTTGACTTGACGCATAAGCTAATTTAGGCACAGGGCAGGTTAGCATGACCTGCTTCTGTTGGGTAGTGAACTTCCTCAGGCAAAAGGCTAAAATGATAAAAACAGCTTACCTGGGCAATACTCTATTTGACTCCAGCAAATTTTAACTCTCAAAGTTACAAAGTTAAATTACAGGCAAGAAATTTAGACAAAGTACAGTGGCTATGTGGAAGTTGTCTGTTTTATCCTACTTTTTGTGCTCCAAGAGGTCTTTTGAGCATCTAACTTTGTTTCTTGTATTAAGCTGTAAATGTAGCTCTACAGACTTCAACAAATACTACCCCTCTCCTTTTGAACTATGTTAATTCACTTGTCACTGTATAATTAAATACAACTGTTAATGATACAACAAAGGCTCTTAAGATTATATTATCCTTGTTGCAAATAAATATTTGCTTTTACCTCCGTAGGATTGCTGCACTAACGTTGAAGGACGGAACATTGCATCTTGAATTCCAGCGAACTGTAAGTTTGATATCCTCAATTGTAACTGATTATACGGTAAGTTTTATAGTCTTTGTAGCATGCTGTGTTTCTTTGTTTTTCTTTTAAATTCTGAGCATACAGTATATCCTCCAATGATTTTATGTATGTGTAAAATGAACACTGGTTGAAGTGACACGCTAAGCATTTTTGGCAAGACCCTCAAGAAACTAATCACCTTGCTACATCCTGTTGCCTAGCAATTTTGAATTAAAGTTGCTCAAAACAAACAAAAGAAAAAAAAATAAGATAAAGTGAAGCTACAAGAATGGAGTAGTCAAAGTCTTAACATTCTGCTAGTTGTTGCAAGCTCTTAATGGAACTTACTGCAACCAAGGTTGTCACAATTATAAGGTTTACTGTTCAAATACAGGGTCAGATTGGTTTGGAGAGCTTTTTATTTATTTATTTTTATTGTCATTTGAATAGTGAATTTTATACTTGTATTTTACCGTTACCCAACATTAAAATTTGTTTGATTATTTGGAACATTTATGTGTGGCAAAAACTGATGAAATCTGTAATGAGCTAACACTCTTACAACACTGTGTATGGAAACAGATGTTAAATACTGTTCATATGCCAGCAGAGGGCACTGCTGCACCATACCTCAGAGACATATGTAGATATGAGATGTTTACATTTGGAAAGAAAAACATATCCAGACTAAGTATTTGTTATTTGTTATTACAACAGTAGCAGGTGAGAGCTTATATTTGTCACAGTACAACCTATTGGAATGTTGGAATGCCATAAAAACATTTGTACAAATACCTCCTTATTATATCACCACTTCATAAAAAGTAACTCTTAATTTAACTAGCATCATCTGCTTTTATAAGACATGTAAAATTTACAAACAGTCTCTTGGCTTTTGACAGTCTTGGCACTTAGACTCACAAGAACATTCACGAAATCCTTAAGAAATCTTACCAAACCTCCTGAAACATTTTTGCAGCTATAGTGTTTAAGAAGTACGTAAAGCTGACATTCACTATCAAATACCATTTAAAATTCCAATCATCTTGTTGCACAAAGCAGACACTCATTTCAGGTTCCTCTTAAGAGTCTGTTTTTATAAATCTATAGTCTCACTGCAGATGCTTAACGAATCCATTTGTCTGCAAACCGTAATGAATTCCTGCTGCACAGATCGATCTGTCTCAGTTGACAGGTTCAGGCTTTCCTGTGAGGCAGCTCCCAGAGCTTGGTAGTGTCTTTGTGGGTTATGGGAGGCCACATTTGAGCCTTCCTGTGGAAGCTGCCTTGTGTGTCTTTCTGAACTTGGACAAAGAACAAGAGAGGAGCCAGCAAGAGAGGCACGGTACAGAAAGCAGGAGGAGGAACTGCTTCTCCAACGTTCAGCTGACGAATTGCTGGAGGATGAGCCCGTGGAGGGAGATGTTGGCGCTCCTTCTGTGGCTGCACCTTGAGACTGGCTGGCGGAAAACTGGAGCTGAGAGGCCATTTCAAGGCAGGATGAGGTTCGATAAAGACTGGAGTCGGTGGAGAGAGGCTCACAGGGACCATTGCTTGGAAGCGTCCAGTGGTTGTTGACAGATGCGTCACTGCAGCGAATGGGTCTAACAGGACTGAAGAGGCTCATGGGAAACAATGCTTCACTGAAGAGTGCTTCGTCTATGCTACGGCGCAAGTTGATTGGTGAAGGAGGTCGCAGGTCTGCAGTGGAGTCGCTTGAAAATGAAGATCCACCTGAGGGCTCTCTGCCTCCCCCGTCCTCAGGTTTTTCTGAACCCAATAACCCTAAGTCCAAGTCGAGATCTCGATATACTAAGGCCCGGTTGCTGTGGTAGAGGAGGTCCAAGCCATTCAGGCTGCTTCCAAGCCTCTCATCCATCAGAGTGTAAAGTGGAAGGCTTTCTGTCTCGCCAAGTCCAACAGTGTCAACAATAGCAAGCTTCTCCTGCTGGCTGAGTGTCCACTGGTAGGTCCCAGGCAGGATGGGGGATTTGGATGCTAGGAGTTCAGTCCAACAACTTCCAGCTGCTGGAAGCTGGTCAGAACAAAAAACTGGTTGAGCAACCACTAAAGCTAAGGTGAGACAGACCCCGAGTTCACACAGTCTACAGCTAAACTGGAAAGCCCACCAGGGCCAAGGGTAGAAGACCTCCTCTCCACCAATAACACCCATAGCGTTAAGCATTGCATAAAACTGCAGTCCTGCACAAGCTAGAGAAAATAATGCTGAAAGACAAACGGTTATAGCTGCACGGTTCCAGTCCCGACTCTCAGCAAATGGGCAACGGTTGTAGCGTTCAGCTGGTGTTGGAGACGTGTTGTTTAGATGATAGATGTGCTTTGAGTCTGCCCGCACATAGATATAGAAAACAAAATAGGCAGCAGATAGAAATGTTGCGAGCGCCACAAAGGCTCCACGAGAGATCAACGACAGAAAGAGGCACAAAGGGGGCGTTTGGCGGTAGAACTTCAAGAAAGTCACTGGACCAAATGCAGCAGCAAAGTGCATGACAACGAGGCAGGCCAGGAAACAGGGTCTCTGAAAGGCTGAATATGAGAGCTGCATTCTTGAGCGCATTGAGAGGAGAAGAAAAACCAAACCGAAAGCCGCAGTAAGACAGGGAAAAGGCGCTTCAAAGAGCATGAGTGAGGCCTCTGTGGAGGATATGCGATCCTGGTGGCCATAGGCATCATAAAGAAGGGAGAAGGACCTGGTGCATGCAGCAGCTAGAAGGAACAGGCTGACTAGAGCAAAATAGCCACACCCAGATGGACATCTCAGTGGCAAGCAAAGCAGATTGAGTGCAGAGGCGAGTGTTAGCGCCGCAAAGACTCCGCCTGCACCGTAGACATGGGCCTCCCACGCCAAGCCCCAGGCCGCCATGGCGCTGTTCCAGTCAGTGTATAAGGGCACCAACATGGGTGTAGCTGGGATTAGGAAGGCGTTGGTTGACTGGTTTGTGGTAGTGATATTTTGTGTGGGTTTCATCCTCAGGGAAGTAGTGACATCCCAGGTGTAGGAGAGGTTGCAGATTCCAGAGCGTTCCTTATTGCAGTCTGGAAGTAAGGTGCCGTCACTGCTTGGTAGGTTAGATGTCCAGTCTTCAGTGTACAGAAGTAATGATGGAGATTCAGAGAGGATACCTGCAGTGACAGATAGTGAGACAATTAAATTTACTTTGCATATCTGATAGAATTAATAAAAAATTTATGACAGTCAAAAATTGAGGAGACAGAACCGAGAGGATGAATTATTTACAACTCTGGAGGAATCTTCTTTCACAGCATTTAGCTAGTTGTAAGAACAAGAGTGGAAAACAATCTGCTTTGATCCACGCTGCAAAAATAATGCTGCCTGTAATGTGCTAATCCTGGAAAAACTTGTAAGTACACAACTTTAAACTGAGCTAGGCCCAGAAAAGTGTGTGTGTGCGTGTGTGTGTGTCACAACCACAGAGCCACTTTTTCCTGCATTACATAAGCCATCTGGACTTTCCGTGTAACTTACTTATGGATCGTGTTCGTCATGTTTTGGCACTACAAAGAAACTCGTTTAGCTTTGAGGATTTGGGAGTAACCATGTCTGTGTGAAATGTGCAGGAAAGCACTCACGGGCCATGTTGTAGTATGTTAATGTGGTTTGAACTGAATGCAAAACCAGTTCATACAGAAAGCATGTCTGTTTTTCAGGCTCCACATCACAGAGCTTCACATGTTTCTGCTTGTTCTTTTTTTATAATAATAATTATTTGGTTGGCTGCTATGGCTGAGCTAGTGCAACCCACGGGGAGAAACAGCATCTGATTTGCACACAGACTCATTAGTGATCTTGTTGCTGGCTTATCAGAGACAATAACGTCTTCATGAACAGCCGGGGACTATAATGGACCCCCAATGACATAAAGCGGCAGCCAGAATAAACTGACAGCACAGTTAATCACACTGTGGGCAGCCTCAGAGAAGTGTGAAGCATTAGCTTTTTGCAATTCCTGTCATGTCACAGGGATCTTCCTCACACTTTCTAATTTGTCTAAGTAGCTACACGAGTTTATACAAACTGAGAAAAACGTTGGTTATATTCCATTTAGCAATACCTGGAGAATTCATCAAACCTTGTGGTGCCAGTTTAAAACTATAAATGTCCTGGCCCTGGCACCACAAAACCTCAAAATGTTTCCATATAAATTGAAGTTGTCTTATTTTTTTTCCCATCTCCAATTAAGTTTTTATTCCGGTTTTACTTTTTTTTTTGGTCTCAGACTCTTCACTTTTGTAAGTTACGTTCTTGTGTTTTTTCCCAACCTTTTCCCGTCTCTTAGTTCAGTGCTGTTGTTTTAATTTTCTTTTAGCCCATACTGGCAAAAACAGGGGAAACGCCCATCGGTGGATCTGATGCTACTAAACATTCCCCCCCTCCATGTTTTTCAAGTTACATAGTTTAATTTTACAAGTGTTAAATGTGCAAGTAATTTAGCATGCTTTACATTATTAGCTCAGCTGGCTTTTCTGTCTTTTAGAGTAAATGCACAGCTGCAGCTAGTTCTGTTATGTTAACGATGTCTGGCTTTGGAGCTGCAGGTGGAGAAAGAAAGGATGAAAAACGCCTTTTATTATTCTTGCAATAAGAGGAAAACATCCTTGCCCTCTAGTGCATTTTACCTGCATCACACAATTCTCATGGGTGTTGTTCAAACAATATGTGGTCATCTTGAGGTACGTGGAGAAAGAGGACATTCAAGTAACAATATTAAAGGCACTATCTTGTCCTCCTAGTTGCTTAATATGTTTTTAAAACCATAATTTTTCCCTCTTCCTGGCCTGGCTCTTGTCTTTATCATTTTTCTTGTTTGTTTTCTGAGCTGAGTGTTGAATAAACTGTCCCAGACTTGGAGGAAAATGTCAAGCTTACAGAAATATGACCCCACAGTGAGCCGCTAGTGCTTCTGTCAGTGTAATAGAGCAGCTTTACTTCAGAGAGTCTGCTGTTTTGTCCTGAGTTTTGTCATTTCCCCAAGAAGGGCAAAAAAAACTAATAATCAATCTTTTTAAAAACAGATTATTGTGAGATGATGCACTGATTTTTTAAAAAAATATTTTTTATTGTCTTATGACTTTGCGAACAAAATGAAGTCATAAAAACTCGTTTTTGTGTGTTTTTTCCAAAATCATTACCATAGCAAACCATTATGTAAGGAATGTAAGGCGTACCATGAGCCTTACAGTCACACTATTCATTTCAGACAGGAAAAGGATGTTATGCAGTCATTAAATCAGCAAACCAACTGCTTCTTGGTCTGAATAAATTTAAATTATAATGTCTTACAATTTTACAATTATCAACCAAATATCCAAACATAGGCATATAAATATTCAGCTGATTCTTTGAAATGCAACACACTGCACACAGAAATCTGAGCTAGCCTGAAACAGAACATGGAAAGCACATATAAAGTTAAAATTGTCTTGTGTTACCAGAATAAAAATGGTCACAGGTGGACAAAAACATAAAACGACAATTAAAAGCACGCCATCAAAAATGGATTTGTGGTTGCTTTAAAAAAAAAAAAAAGAAGAAAGAAATTATGCCTAGTACCCAGGGTAGCTAACTAGCTTTGCCTCGTGTTGCTAATTAGCAGAGTTGAGATTGAAAGGTCAGCAGTGAGAGGCAGAATCAGGCTACAGGACGCCTTGCTGAATGCTACAGAGACTCATGTTGAAAGTGCATCCATGATCTCATATTACAATGAAACATGATTAGATGAAAACGTTAAGGCAAATTAAAAACCTATGCTTGACATTTTATCAACGTATTTATCAAATACTCCAGCAATATGTTAGTGGTTTTGCCATAGCATTTAGTAGTGGGATGGAAAATTTGGCTGAAGTGTAAAACAAACACGCAACTGTAGGTATTTTAAACGTGGGGGCTGCTGATAAAGTAGGTGGGGTTGGGAACATTGTTAGGTCAGTGACTTGTCTAGCCATTTGTTTACTTTTCAGGGCATTGGCTTGGAACCCAGCGAGTCAGACTGAGTGGAAACAGTGAGGGGCGATGAATAAGGCCCATGTTCTTCTTCTTTCTTGTCAGCTGGCGTCACATTTGATCTGCCGGCTTGATGTGTGGGTGCCTACGGTACACGGACAGATGGGAGCTTGACATTCCACTTCATGCTGCTTGGTTATCTGACACATTCCTGTGTTAACAAGTCTCTCGTGTTGAGCTAAGTTGACACATCAGAAGCAGACGGAAAAGTAACCATGATGGATACCAAGGGAAAGATTATAAATACTGTAGAGAACAGAAAGAGGATGCTTTCATGTAAGCGATTGTATTTAGCAGCCCCAGTTTCATTCATCCAACACATATTCGAATGAAAGAAAAAGGATAGTTTTCCAGTTTATTCCCCTAAAACAAAAGAAAAGTGTGACATACACTTCAGTTTTAATGTTAGTTTAGGTGGATGCGCTTTTTATTTTTGGATAACAAGTCCTGATGCAATCTGCTGGGTTTCCTTAGATAAAAACTTAATCTGAATATCTAATTGAGCATACTGTACTATTTGATAACTTGGATCAGTTGGAATGTACTGTATGTATGATTGAATTGAAATGATTTTTTGTGAAGTACCTTGAGATGACATTTGTTGCCAGTTGGTGCTATATAAATAAACTAAATTTAATTGGAAAATTTGCATAGCAAAGTGTTAATCATGGCATCTCTGTGACCAAATTCACATGGTTTATTTCATATGAAACTAAACTGAGACTTTTTATTCAAATATTTGATGAAGACTAATAGTAGAAATGTGGAAAAATCATATTGTGCACATGGCTGTATTAATTTTTCTTTCAGTCGCACTTTTAAAGACGGCAATGTCTCACCTGAGGCACCTAACCTATAGCTAAGGGAAAGTAATACACACAAAGTACTCTTTTTGTTGTCAAAGGACTATAAAACCCATTTCAATCTTGTACTGGCTGCAAGTTTATTCTGCCTCATGAAACTAAAGTCTTTGTGTAGTTGGAAGCTGTTTGTCTTTGTTTTCTGTTAGGTTCACCTCTGGGAAAGCAATTAAACGGGAGCTCTGAGGGAAGTTAGATTAAACATTATGAGGAGGACGACAAGTTTACTTCAGGGTAATTGTGAAACAACAGCAACTTCTTAAATCGTTTATTATGCTGTGAAAAGAGACCTGCCGTCAAAGAGTGCGTATAATAACAAATTCGGTTCATCAGTCTCTTTGAGTATTTTTAGAAAATAAATAGATTCACAGACTTGGAATATTTATCTTTTTTTATATTTCCCCCCCACTCACTTTTGACCTACTAGATTAAATGGCACGTGTCTCTTCATTATTAACGTGTGGAAAATTCGACAGGTCTATTTTTGAAAATCACATCACATCATCTGCTATTCTGGGTGAGGTAATGTAGGTTACATCTGCTGCTGTGATCTGGGCCAAAAATGTATCTGAACAGAAATAAGTTTCATAATTATGTACATTTACAATCGACCAACACATGAAACGGGCTTCATGAGAATATTTTATCATTTGACATTATGCGAATGTTTCACGGACCTACACTTTTACACTTCGTCCCAGAAACAATAATGAGGATAATGTAGGTAACTGTCACTGCGATTTAAATTGATACCTGAAATATTCCCTGAAAATACTTCCTCAATTTGCATAGATATAAAATCGTAGTAGAAGTGAAAGATGGCATGGGGTTGAAGTACAAAGAGATGGTTTTAGTCTTTTATTTCTTGCTCATCTAAAGCTGTTTTTTATTTGCAGTGTGGGAATGTTTGTTTCTTTAAATCCTGTTCTATCTGGAGTAACTATCTTTGTGTATTGTATTACTAGTAACAGTGACTCCATTTGTCTCCCAGTCACATCAGATTTTAGAAAGAAATATAGTTTACGTGGGGAAAAAATGGCAGCCTTCTATGTAATCAGTTAATAAATTAAGTTATTATTTTATAAATAATAGCTGCTTGTCTTTGAACCAATTACTTTCTTTACATCTGAGAACAGTTCTGGGGCGTATTTGTTCAGTGGGTGGGCATCGATCCCTATCTTTTCTGCTCTCTGGTGTCCTCTTAAACAGCCAGCATGTGTGAGCAGCTTTCCTCTCCCACTGGAAGCAATTAATGGTTACAAGGAAATGATGCAGGGTACTTGTCACACATTTTCAGGTATAGAAGCATGCAGGACAGCAATCAGTCTTAATTGGTTGAAAATAAGTGATTGAACAGGAGTGTAATTTAAAAGAAGCTCTGATTTGTCGCTGATGTGTTTTCTTACCTGTGTTGTGTGCCGTGGATGTTTTCAGTAGCTGGGCAGATGATGTGGAAGTGTCTGTCAAATGTGTGTCAGCGTCCCCGTCTGTAGTTGAAGTAACCGCAGCCTCATCCTCTTCCTTAGTCTCTTTGCCTGGTAGCTCTAGGAAGACAGTTTCACCACATAGTGATCTCAGCGTAATTTAATTCTCGAAGCACTGCATCTCTGGAGTAGAGAAGCAGATTAGTAGACCTGAAGCTTTCCAAAGGATAGCTTAACCATTTCTTCACTCTGCACACAGCATATCTGAGACTTAACTCTGTGGAAAATGGAACGACTACATTTCTCAACCCAGTTCTGTCAAGAATTGGTCTATCAACCACTTAGTTGCAGGCAGCCATCCATAGAACAGTAGACTGGGCCTTTTGTGGTCCAATTACATTGACATCCTTATGTGGATGGGTGTGTACATCCTGGTTCACTACAAATCTAGACTCTTTTCTAGTGTAAACAGAAGTGGAGAAATATTAGTTTTAGAAGATTTTTCATGACTAAGCAAAAACTCCTTTGTATTATGTCTTTGTAACTTTTTATGTTTTCAGCGTTAAATACCAATCCTACCAGGTACGACTGTGTGAAAAGATGTTTAAACCACAGTTTGGTAACTCCTCGATGAAAATTAGGAAAATAATAAAACGTGTGTCTGAAAATACAGACCGGAATAATCTGATGTTGGTCAGTGGTACAATTGAGGTCAGAGGTTTACAAAAACATAAAGATCAACATAAGTATCATTAATTTGGGCGATTTAATGATTTATTAGGGTTCTATGGGTAAACTTTCTATGCAGCATACAAAATTAATGATTGTTAACAAGAGAACAAGTGGAGAATTGTTTTACGACAAGTGTTGTTTAGGGTTTTGTAAGGACGTAATGTCCAAACCTTAATCAGATGTTGAAAAATGTAAAATATAATTCTTCTTGGTGAAGATAAACGTAGCAGTGGATTAGCTGTGCAGCTAAAAACACATAAATATAAGCTTTTAAAAATTGATGAGAGGGTTACTGCTTCATGTTAACAACACAAGCAGCTCAGTGCAGTTTCTCAGATCTGGTTACAGACAGGATCACATGTGCATGTGACAGGAGATTAAATTACGCATAATAAAATCTGCTGCAAATGGTTTAATGGGAGTAAACATGTGCACAAGCTGACTTAATCCCGTAAGAACAGTCAGGGTCCGGGTTATTAGCTCATCATAGGCAACATTTCTAATGATCGACTGCTTGTACAGAATGCTTAAATAGCAAAATAAAAACACAAGGGGTTGTAAGGAAAGCTGAAGAAGCTAAATTTCCTCTTTAGTTGCTAAGCAGGTCAGTCTTTCATGTTAGTGCTGATTATTACTTTAGTGTCTAATGAGTTTGTGTATAATCTGCTTTTAAGAGGTCAGATAGCTCAGTTTCCTTGAACATTTTCAAGTATATGAAAGATTTTATATCTACGATAAGTGTTTGACTTTCTCGGATGCGGTGCCACTATAAATTCCTGCGATTCATCGTTTATACCAGATTGCAGAAATGGGTCATGAAATATCACAATACATTAGAAAATTATTAGCAAGCCTTTCTGTGAATTGCAAATCAGTTTTATCATCATAATCATTAACGTGACAAGCACCGAAACAAAGATTTCTGAGCCATCTGTACTGATTCTGGCTCAGGAGTTTTCGTGTAATGTTTTAGAGCTCCCAATTATGTTCAACAGAAAGATGATGTTGCTCCCTATTTCATCATGACCAGGATAAGCCTGAGTGAGTTTTCTGAAAGAAAAACACTCACGGGTTTCTGAGAAATGCCCTGAGGTTCAATAGACAAAGAAAGCAGAGATTTCTTTGTCTCTGCAGCGCAGCAGAAACCGGCAGTATGATAATCTAATCGAGAATAACAAAAATAAAGAGATGCCCTGCTTTCCCTGTTACATGTCAGTCTGACATGACTGTATAGAAAAACAGGCTAGAATGAACAAAGTATTTCTGTGTTATGATGTATGGATTTTTTTTTTGTTAGGTTTAAGATAATTCAGATTTTATTGGGTTTTTTTTTATTGTCTTAATATCTGCTGCTTATGTTGCTTATATGAAACAAAGTTTTTGATAATCACAATTTCATCTTTCCCCTTTAGATTCCTAAGATTGGATAATTTTGTACTTTTAGGTTTTAAACAACACCTAGAACACAGGGAAATTGTTTCTGGATCACAGCTCTTTATGACTATCCATTTAGTCAGTCATGATTGAGTTTTTACTTCAGTGCCTCCGGTGGCAGAAAACAGCATTACCTTTGGCAAAATAAGTCTCAGTTTTTCAATTCCTGCCATTTAGGGTGGAATTAGCATGTTTGTTTTTATTCTACAACATTTGAAGGGATGATGTTGTGCTGTAGCATTGAAATGAGAAGTAATTCCTATGATGAGCTCAGCAGACTCAGAGTTCCACCAGGTGTTTATAAATTGCTTGCAACGCTGGTCTGGAGGAGCTGAGTGGGAAAGACATAGGAAAAGGTGCTCTATGAGATAGAAGCTCAGCTGGACACTATTTCAGTGGAAATAGGTGGCGCTTTTTAGGAGCTAAGTATTCCTCAGATATTCATGAAAAAAAAAAAATCAAAGATTAAAAAATTAAAGTAACACTGCAGGTAAGTTTTTGGTGAGAGAAAAACAAAAAAGTCAGTTTTACATAATATCCCACTTATAAAAATACTTTGTAAAATATAGGAAGAAAAACTTGTAAATTTCATTAGAGAATTTTTTTTATTTGGTTAAAACAGAATTTGGTCAGCCTTAAAAAGTGGTTTCTAAAATTACAAAAAAATACTTGGCTTTCAATACTTACTTATAGATGCATGCTGTGTTTATTCTTACCGATTTATGACATAAACACAGGAAGAAGGCAAGCATAAACTTCAGTGTCAAAAACCTACATCCCCAACCTCTGTTTCTTTCCTACTCTGTCCTAATTGCCCTTGTTTGCTTGTGTTGCATGGTGCCTTAATGGATTATCTGACACAGATGCGCAGCATTGCTGTTCGTTTTCATCCCTGACAGCCTTCTCAAGGGCAAGGTCACATAGCAAATGCTCTTTAAAAGCATGAAGAACTACACATTTTTGTGGAGAAGATGCTTAGCATCTTCAGACATGAAATTACTCAAATTGCAAAAACTGGGTAGTGCTTATTTTAATCCACATTAATCCTAAGGTACTGTGTGTACATTTATATGTATTTCTTTCTCACACATTTTTTTTTTTTTATCTCTCCAAGCGTCAGTGACCCTGAAGCTGAATTTTATGTCCATGGACCAAAGTGAAAGGGATTTGTGTTTGTAGAAAGATAAAATGACTTTAAAAATGAAAGGGGGTGGGGAGGGAGGGATCTGTCTAAATGGCAAGAAGCCTGTTCACCATCCTAATAGCAACTGGCAAACAGACGGTCCCACAGGAGAGATGGTGGTTTCGCTGAGTGTGCATTCAGAATACTGATACATGAACACAGAAGCCCTCTCCGCCCAGCTGAAACCCCCTCTTTGCTGTTTGCCACAGTATAATGCACAGCTGAAAACAAGAGCAGACACAACAATCGCCACAGACAAAACATTCAGCAGATTCGGCACAGGGTGTGAGATCAGAGTCTGGGATCGCTGCATTCCAACACAGCTGATAAATAAAAGAAAGTTTCACTTTGTACCTCATATTTTGCACTAGAAATCAGTTCCCAAAGTTGGAAACCATTTGAGCATTGATAATCAGCCATGACGTATTCAGAAAATCTTAAACTTATACTTTAACAAACTGTAGCTCTACATTAATGAAGTTGAAATCCAATCAGGGTGAGGATAAACATGTGGGTCGTTTAGGAATGCCAAGCAGGTTCAGATTATTCCGAAAAGAAAATAGGATGATACAATATAATAAATTACAGTGTGAAATTAATTTAGATGCCATGGTGTATTTAAGGAATATAATAAGAGACATGGGTTGGGTTGGCAGGATAAGGCACTTGACGCTCATGAATCATGATTTCATCAAATGCATACCAAAGCCTCCCTTGCTTGGAATAATCGACTCATGATTTTCTTGCCCAACCTTTGACCCAACATGATGAATGTGTCTGTACTTGCAGGAGGATCTCCTTCTGAAATCTCATTAAACATACGGACACCAGCCTCACACCAGTTATGGGGGATGGGCAGAAGAAAAAGGTGTTACTGATTCAATGTCAAACCAGAGACTGCTGAAACATACTCTTCCACTTGATGGTTTTGTTCACCACCTTTTCCTTTTCCGATTGGTAAACTCTGCACATTAGATTGTCTTCTACTTATGGGTTATGCTTCTAAGAAACTCGTCTATGGCCAAAGTTGTAGTATGAGGGATAAAGAGGCTTGGAAACAGGGTGGGATGGATTACAGCTGGAAGAAAATTAACATAGGATTTAGGGGAGATGATGAGCAAACAGCACATCACCCAAAGTGTCTTTTGTGTCGCCCACAGCGTATTGCTCAAGGAATTCCACTGCTTTATGCTTTATGGATGCTTTGGAAATTTAATAAGACTGTGTAATTGAGTTTCTGTGTTTCTACAGCAGATATTTTTTCCAAAAGCTCTTGTAGTGCTGGCAGCTGTCTTTATAAGTTTAATAGACCAATTATTTGACCAGTAAACAACATCATATCATGTTAAAACCTAGTACTCATCTGTGTATCATTTTAAAACTGATTACAAGCTTGTATTTTTGTCCTGACATACTTCTTCAGAAATCTGACATTTGCAGACATTTCACATTGAGATCAAAAGGTATTCTGATTGTATATTATAAAAATTGTATTCCTTTCTCTTTAAATTAAGCAATAAAGCTCAATGATCAAGATTATTCATCTGTCAGACTGATTATTGATAGATTTGAGAATGAGAAGATAAGTAGCATATTTTTACTAGACTGATAAGAGTTTTGATAAACACAAAGCATTAATTTGAAACACTTTCAATAGAATTTAGGTTTGATATAAATGTCAATCCTTGTGGCAGAGGTATCACTGAAAAAAGCCAAACTATGAGTAGCCTTTCGACAAACATCTATCGAACACTAAAAACCTGCCTGCACATGATTGATCACATTTATTCAATCAATTCAGGCTCTATGGATTTGCTTAAGTCTGCTTACCTTCTACAATTGGAAAGTTGGCCCTTTGGCTTTGAGTTGTGCTTGGTATGGATTCCACAGCTAAATTACGATCGATCCAGAGGGTGGTAGAGAATACCCGAGGCTGTTGTTCAGCATTTACCGTACTCGTCTTAGAGAAGCCCAAGTCCAAATGGCTTTGTGTAGTCTGGATTTCTGCTTTTGTGGTCGCCGCCACTAAATTTGAATCCTTCCTGAGGGTAGAAGAGAAAACTCCTGGCTCTTGTTTGGCATTCGTCGTAGTGGTCTCAGAGAAGCCCAAGTATAAGTAGCTTTGTGTGTGATATATTTCTGATGTTGTCCTGACCACTTCTAAGTTATGATCCGTCTTGAGGGCAGCAGGGAATACTTCTGAATGTTGTTCGAAGTTCACTGTACTGGTCTCAGAGAGGTCTAAAGGGTTTTGTGTGGGGTTCATGTCTGAGGTTGTGCCTTCTACTGTGGTAGGATCTGTCCTTAGAAAAGTCGAAGTAACCCCTGGCTGCTGCTCAGTGTTCACCAGACTGATCTCAGACAAGCCCAAGTTCCAGTTACTTTGTGTGGAGTGAATTTCTGATGTTCCTTTAACTGAATGAAGGGCAACACTAACAGATAAATCTTCTTGTTCCCCAACAAAATTACTTTCTGAAATGGCTGGAAGAGTAACAAGCCCCAGAAGGTGTGTGCTGGTTTGAGTAGTCTCCACCAGTCCCGGTTTGGGTGTTGTGGTTCGGACTGTTTTCCATGTCATGGCAGTGGGAGCTGTAGCTTCTGGTGGGATTGTTGAAGAAATCCTTTCTGTGGGAACGATGGTCTCCCGGTAAACACTACTGGGGAGGGTATTTTCAGTGGCACCTGTGCTAGAAGTCGCCGCTGTCGTGGATCTCCATGGTGTTAACATATGTGTTGTGTTTTGTTCAGGAGTGTTACTTCTGTGAGGACTGTTTGTGAACAGAGTATTTCTGATGTAGCTGCTTGTGGGAGAAACAAAAGTCTCACTGTTGCCCTGAGCTATGCTGCTGTATGGCAAATCTGATGTCCCAGTGGGAGGTGGCTCAGTTCTTATCTTTGCCACACTCATAAAAAGCCCTTGAGTCAACGTTGTGGTTTGTTGAGATTCCTCAGAATTGCTCCCTTCTCCTGATCCCGTATGGTCTTCAAAGAGACCGATTAGTTCTGTCACCCCTTTGGCAGTTGTAGTTGAGACAGCGTCTTCATTTTTGCCACCTGATCTCCCAAATAAGCCAAATGAGGGAAGCTTGGGCATGGATGGAAGCCATGAGTAAATGCTAGACTTCTCTTCAGGAGAATTTTTGCTTGATGGTGTGAGTTCACCTGTGGCTTCTTCATCGGCCAGAGCTCGGCTGTGAAGTAGCAAATAATACCAGAAGAAGAGAGCCATCGTCCAAAGGAATCGAAGCATGCTGTCGACTGCGAAGCACTGATTGTCACATGTTGTTCTCTATTCTGCTGACCCCTGAGGCGGGGAAGGGCTGGCTTCTCTACTAAATGACCTAAAAGACAAGAACACACAGGACACTTGGTGACACACTTTTCTTCTGCAACATTTGGGTTGACTTGACTTGAAAGAGTTGGCATCAGTTAATTTGTCTTTTTCCAAGGAACACATTTGAAAGAAGAACTTTACTTAGTGGCCCACTTACAGTGATTTAAGTGTTGAAAAGATCAAACTCTTGACAACCAAATGTTGAAGGTAGACGGCAGCTAAGAATGTTATGTCACCAGTTCTTAGTAACACAAAAAAATTAAATACATAAAGTAATTCAAAGTGCTTTACAATTAAATAAAAGAAGAAACGTAAGTGAAAATGTATTCAAGCATAACATATTCAGGAAGAATGCAAAATTGTGGTGATAAAAAAAAAATATTTGAACTACAAACGAAGTACCAGCAGAGACTATATATTAGTCCTGATGAGAGAAAAACAGTTAAGCTGGAGGATGTTCAGATTCATCCATATCCATCCATTTATGCATTTTATATGTAACTGAAAAGCAGCAGTTGAGAGATATTTTCTCTAAGCTGGGCTGGAGTACTGAAGAAATTAAGTCTGGCTAGTCAGCTTAAGAATAGGGGGACCTCCTATTCTTTTATAAAACATTACATGGTTTAAAGTCACCAGCGTGTTGCCTTAGTGAAAAGATTGGAGCACCGAAGGAATTTCCCCTGGGAGAACAACAACCTGTGTGCTTCAGCTGTACTTAACTTCCTCTGAACATACCCAGGCTTTTGACCTTGTTGTCTTTAAATCTCAGATTTATTCGTTCTTTCAAACAGACAAAGATATTTGAGTGGGAGTGAAAAAAAATAACCCATCAATATTCCCAGAAATCTGCAACGATTATGAAGCTCTCTTTCTCTCTGATGTTTTGTCTTTTTCTAAATGATTTTTTTGCTCTTTCAACCTGTTCTTTTTTGATTTGCAACTTATTTTTGCAGATTCATGTCATGTTTCTCTAGTGTCTTCAGTTAATTATTTTCCTTTTCAAAAAAGTCTCGCTGGTCAGTAGGCTACATGTTTAACCACCCATTTCTCCCTGTATTTTTACCTCAAGAGATGAACGACACTTTCTTAATAAAAGTCTGAACTCTGACTAACAGAGGATTAAGCAGAGCTTCCCACACACACTCTACTTTTAGCACTTTGATTGAGCAGCGTGAAGATCAGTTTCCATAGGGGTATTGCTTATTTTTGGTAGTTGTTCGCTGGAGCTTGCAGTGACCAACCTGCACACTGTTCAAACATGCAGAGATGTGATTGTAGTTGAGATTGGACTTCAGTCTATGTTTGCACACTGTGTACTTATTTGCCCACTTGTACTGTTCTGTAGTTGGTGTAAACACCCACACGCGCTCTTCCTTCTGGTTTCTTCAGAGATTTTGTCAACAGCTTCTTATACAAATAAACAGCAAAAAGGGAATAGTGTCTTGAAGTAAATTATCTTTTCTCTCCAGTTGCTCCACCATAAAATATTTATCATTAAAACAGCAGAAGGTATGTATAATTTAGTTTGGCTAACATTCTCACATTTCACTATAGTATCACTTTTATTCATCATCTTAAAGTGAAGGAAAGCTCAGAAAAGGTGAACAACACTATGCAGGATGGATTTAGCAAATACTACTCAGGTTTTTTCCATTACATTATGTTACCTAATGTACCTCCATTTATTTATTTTCTGGAGGCAGTTTCTTTTCACCTCAGCAGGTTTGTCATCTTCCTGCATCTCTGGCATATCTGCACCTCATCAAGTCTTGTGATATTCTGAATTATTACACCTATAAGACCTGAATTATATATAACTATATGCCAGTAGTAATTTGGGAGCAATATGGCAGTCATTTGCATCCTTGGTGTTTGCATCCTCAGCAGTATTGCCAATCTTTGGGTTATGTTTCGTTATATCCATACCAATCTTCTTAAATATTGATCAGGAGTGCATACTGGTGGAGTTTTGACTTGAAGTCACAAGTTTGTGGATTACAATAACTTAGGAAATTGCACAAACAAACTTGTTTGAGAAAACTGTATGTTACCACTTCATCTTGATATTCAAAGTTTTGTTCAGTCTGTAATTTTTTTTGAAAAAAGCATCTTTAGGCTCCAGGGCTGCTTGGTATCAAACATTTTATTGAGAATATGAACACACCTTTAAGGTCCGGTTATATAAGGACTCGATCGCCCTTAGACACATTCCTGTCTACTTAAAAAAGTCGACCAAATAAAAGAAAACCAGTGATACTAGAAGAAGTAAGTATTTCATCTTGACCAAGCCAAAGCAATTGAGGTTATGGAGTTAAGATATATTGCAGTGTCATCTGATAATGCTGTCATAAATAATCAGTTTGATTGCCACATCCGTCATTTTGAGTAACGAACAAGCAAGTCCACATAGCTTCCTCATTAGTTACTTACCATCCTTCTTATTTCAGCAATCACCCACCACATCTGACTCATGCCTGGTTAAGTTGCGGTCATAAATGGAACTAAAGTGTACCAAGTGTCAGTCAGGAAATTAACCACAAACCTTCTGTTATTTTGTTTCCATTTCCATCAGATGGAAGGATGAATCTGATGCTGTGCTGCGATCAATGAAGCAGAGGTGCACAGAGCAAACAATACAGGCAGCAGAACAGAGACAAAAACTCAAACCCACCATGTTATTATTCTATTGTACCCTTATCAGTGCAAGAGAGAAGCTCAACACTGCAGCAGTCTCTGTCATGTGCATCTTTGTTTGCCAGAGTCTTTCTGTGTGTTTATCAGAATTCCTTATTTGATTCGCTTTCTGAGCACAAGCAGCCATCTTGATCATAATCTGCCCTCATCTTACTGTAGTCTGAACATTTGCTTTTGTTTTACTGATCTGGTGTCAGAATTTTGCCTCTGTAAGTCTTTCACAAATCAAAATGCTGCAGTTGTAGTTGCCCTTATTTAAAGGGGGGGGAAAAAAACATGATCACATAGTAAAACCTGAGGTGGAATAGAGAAAGACGATCAAAAGTAGAGCTGTTTGTCTTTGCTGACTGGCTAAAACCGAGACTCTACAACGCGTGGAGCCACAAACCGAGAAGATCTGACAGTTGCCCATGTCTTTACTTTTTAACAAACTTGCTGTTAGCTGGTCTGGGTATCAGTGACGCAGTCCAGTATAGTGGAGCAATTCACCTTCCTGCAAATGGCTACTGCTGTGGGTGATAGTTGCCTTTTTTCCTCCATGTGTGGGTGTGCGTATTTACAAGCAGTACTTTTTTCACTCTAGTATTATTTCCATGGTTATGTGTAAGTGCTCTTGCATGTGGGCACACATGCTTTTTTTTTTTTTTTTTCCCCCATCATGGTCTTGCATGTTTTTAAGTAAGGCTTTTTTAACGTCACGGTCTTCTATCTAGTGACCTTTTCCAGATGTCAGTTCTGCAAATATTCAATGTGGCTGGGTGTTTTAAACCAACAGGGAGGTATTCTGTGCCAAGTGAGGGAAGTGTTTTGCTTGACTACTAAGCGTTTATTTGTAAGACAAAATAGTAGAAAATAGCCGTAGTGAGAAAAACACAAATACCTAAAAGGTTTTCTGAAGTTCTTTTCAGTTTATCAAACCTAACATATGAAAGATATGATTGTTAATTTGCCCCACTCGATTTTAAACTAATTGTTTTGTAAAAAGCAACATGACGCCCTATTTATTGCTCAGACATTACCATAAACATTGATCGAATCGGACATTCCAGATCCGTTTTGCACTTTAGAATGAACCATTGTGCTTCCCCCTGAGTAAAATCATTACTACTACTGAGTTATTTTTCCCCCCACTATGTTTAGAACAAGACTGAAGTGAACTAAAACATGACTTAGGTTCCCCAAGATTTTGAAACGGTTCTCTAAATGAACTTCAACAGCTTTTTAAAAGTTATAAATGGAAGCGTTTAGAAATGTATGCCGTGTAAAATCAAAATGTACAAATTCTTCCACTTTAGTGGACATACAAAGGAAAATACAAAGTTTTATTAACATTCTAAGCTGCCAGTTCAACCTTTTTCTGCTGCTTGTGTTTGCCCCTTTTGCTTATTTCTAACCACCACTTCATTTTAAAACATTATCCCTCTCTACTGCCAGATTGAACCCAAGTCAGGTTTTCCTCAACAGATTTTACCTCAGTTGACGTTTTTGTTGTGAACAGAACCACTTGAAATGTCATTAGCAGTTTAATTGACACGCAAATCTATCTTTATACGACTCCAGTTCTAAAAATGCCGTGGTGGTTTCTTGAAACACCATTTTATAAAGCAAATAACCATAATGATGTTTTGAGGGATGATCATGTTTGGCAGTTATTTACACAGACGTTGATGATTATTAACATGGGATGTGGTGAAGGACGGAGCCACAAACACAGTAATCTTCCTGAGTGAAACACATGCTGAGAGTGGAATTTGTAAGGCACTGTAAACTGTTTTAGGACTAATTTCTCTTTAATTCTTAGTTCTTTATTTGTTTTTTCTTTACGTTTGCATATGCTGCCTTGATGTTTTTTGAGTCCGAAGTTGCTTTACGGTGGTTAAAATAGATAACATATGAACAGTTTGTACCTTGTTTTTATCAAAATTCAAAACATAATTCTGAACTCCTCCCTCTTTAAGCTCTCTTACAACAATGTATCCTTTTGTACATTGTTGTAAGAAAATCTTTAAGAATCTTTATACAAAAATTTCCTCTTTTTGTAAAAAGAGGAAATTGGTCCACTAGACACACCACACTGCATGTTTTAGATGTTCTCCTGCTTAAATAAGCCTGATTCATATGATTGCAGTTTAACAAACGTCTGATTATCCACCATCAATTGGAATCAGCTGGGCTGAAGGGATGGGAAACACTGGTCTGATGTACAGCGCCATACTTACTGGTTTTTGGGTTGTTGTGTTACAGCGGTTTAGTAAATAAGATATGTCTTAGTCAATGAGGTTGGAAGCGTTTAGCCACACAAAGCTGTGAGGAAAACTTGCAATTCACCTTTAAATGAATTATTTTCTTTTATTATGTTAGCATTTTAACACAGGGATTAACTATTGCATGATATCCATAATTCTGAGTTATGGATAACTATATTATTTATTCCTATTATAAGTGGTAATAGTAGCACCAGCGGTACTATCAAAGTAATATTTAAACATTTTGAATGAAGAAGATTGCAATAATATATTTAGAAATAGTTCAGAAAATGTTTTTGTTTGTTGCTGTGTGCAACCGTTTACATTTTCCCAAGACTGTAAAATGTATTTAACATTGCCCGTGTTTATTATTACTCAACAAAGAATGTAACAGGGAGCCTTTGGTTTGATCAAAACCCAGTCTTAATGGGGCTCAAGTTCTAATTATTTTGAATTTTATCTTCCACATCAGAGGTCCCATAATCAACTCATGAGTTGCAGCAGATCCACAGATTGAATTATGCAACCAGCTGCAGTCAATAGTCCCTGGACATTATCGACCTTAATGAAAGCTGCTATCTTGTCGAATAGTAAAAGAAAAATAATAATAATAATAAGACACTGTTGTCTCTGAAAGGTCTGCATCACAAGTTAGACTCTAACAGGTGACTTAACCACAGTTAGCTAAACAGCCCTGACTCCCTGTTTACAAACAAGATTTATTTCTTGCGTTTTCTTGCACGTGCTCTTGCTCCTCCAGTTAGGACATACAAGGTACCATTTAGAGCGAGACGCTAAGCATTTCTTATGAATTAACCCATAATGCATTCTGATACTTTAAAATAAGCTTCCGAACACAGCTTGAGTGCGACATTTATTGATTCGGGTAGTCGCTCGGGTTAATCTAAGCTCTGATGAATGCCCTGAACCTGATTGCTTTAAAGGATGCTCTCTAGCACAGACGTTCCACTGGCTGCCTTTGCCATGGTGACAGCCGAAGCCAAAGACGTTGCGGTAATCTCACAGATTTGAGAACCATTTGGGGGTTTTTTCTGCTGCGTTTGAGGAAGTGTAGGTTTTGCTCTTGATTGCAAATGGGCAGTTTCTCGTGCGATTCATCTCAACTAGAATGTTTCCTGTTTCACTGACATCTAAACAGATGCACATGCTTGCAAATATTCCCTGTGTGCTTCATTGAAAATGGGATAAGCAGTCATGGATACACCATAACCATGGATTTACATGCTAATGAAATATGTTACCATGGTTTTTCTCCAAATGTCACACTGAGAGACACTGTCATTAACCTTGAATGACAGCTAATAGAAATTATTTCATCTTACCAATTTATCATTCTCTATTTATCAACACACTGACAATTTTCTTACATTTTTGAGGAAATAGTTAGTTTGTGTGCATCAGATTTATTTATTTTTTTTACCTGCTGTGTTATTGCAGCTACGTTTCTGCTTCAGTATCTACAAGATTCAGTATGACTCAATCCCATACGTTCCATATCCTTGAAGATAAGCCTGCTAAATTAAACATCCAGGGTCAAACGGAGACATCTAAGAGGACGAGAGAATGTCAGCTGCTTACCTGCAGACGTATGTAGTAAGATGGAGAATCCACTGCAAGCGGTGTTAGGAAGAGAGTGAGTGTGTTGCAGGCGAGACGGCTTTTTGCGAGCCTCTGTGGGTTTGTCTGTGTGGTATAGAGTTCCAGTCTCCCTCCCTCCCACTCACTCTCTCGTTTCTCTCTCTGTCGCTCTCTCTCTCTCCCCCTGTTGGTCTCTGTCGCTCTCGCTCACTGCAACTGCTCCCCGTTATAATGCCCACGGTCACACCTCACTGAGCAAATTGTTCATCACCAAAGATCATCCACCGCCGTGGACACCGGGGCGCACGGTTAAAACAACGTTGGCTTATGCAAGCAAGCGTTCTGAAAATGACATGCGAAGCCTTCACATTCATCCACACATATCCCCAACCTCAAAGCTGCTGACCTTTGCATGCAGTTGTTTTTTTTTTAAAGCATGACATTGAAATCAGACAGCACAAGATATTGACTTCTCTCAATATAAACAAGGTAAAGCTAGGTAGATGAAATAGCTTCACATATCAGAAATGAAAAAAAAGGGGCAATATTGTTAGATGGTATTAAGCTTTGAAAGGGAGAATGACTTTCTTGCATAGTTTGGTACATCCATTCCATTTTAGAATAACATCACAGAAATACATGTGAGGAAAAAAAACATTTAAATGTGTAAATCCTCTATTTCTGTATAACACATACATTGATTTAGTTCTAGTTGTTAAATTGAAATTGGATCACTTTAAAACCTTTTTTCATCTGATTTTAAAAGAAATGTTCAAAGTAAATTACAACTCCAAGATTGTAATTGAATCACAATCTTATTAGAACATATATATGTTATGTAAGGTCCAGTTCACCTTTGGTACAGTTTGAAGCATTGTGTTGAAATTTGAACAACAAACTTATCTCTGATGAGATCTGAGGCGTTCAGTCAAAGGGTGTTCCTCTGCAGACTCTTTAGCAAAATAGTCTGAACATCTCTGGTCAAATGATCCCCAGGAATTTCAAACATAGAACAATCAGCAAAGTAAGGAAACATCATTTCCTGAGCAGTGGCTGAGGGCTCCCAGCAGTGCTGGAGCCCACTCCTCAGGTTCCCCCCAGCTGAGGGGAGATCGCCTCGATAACACGCTTCACCTTGACTCTCCTTTCTATTCTTATCGCCTTTGTTTTAGCCCAAGTCGCATTGAAAACTCATTTCCCCCGGCCTGAGCACTTTCTTCAAATGCATTGGATTGCCATATCAAATAATTGAATTTCTAGCACATTATTTTGACGTCTGGGAGAACGACGGCCCAGATACTGTCATAACGGATTCTCTTTTTCCTCATGATTTGTTCTGCCAAGCAGATGGCGGGCATAAAATGACATGATCCAGAACATGCTTTCAAGGAAATTATATTCATTCTTTAGAGATATTTTCCTAGATTTCAGCCTTTGCTCCACAGCAGAGAGTGATGCCACAGGTAAGGTTAAGCTTAGGGCAGACATAAATATTTAAGCTATGAACTGTGCCAGAGGACAGCGGTAATGTAACAAATACTGCAAGTATTTCAGACTGCATTAATACACACACACACACACACACACACCTACACACACACACACACACACACACACAAAAGGGGAGGCAGTAGTAATTCTTTGAAAATGTTTACATTTTGAAAAAACTCTTTTAACATGGTTAATGACTTAAAATAAAATTAATATTTCAGTTGTACAACATGCTGTTGTTTGTGTAGATTTATATATATATATAAAATAGAAACATGGCAGTTACTGAAGTAAAAAATATGCTCATGCAGATCTTGTGACTGGAGTTTTTGGAGTTTGCCTGCAGTGCATCTCATAATTGCCCTCAGATATGAGTGTGTGTTTCTGTGTTGCACCGCAATGGGCTAGCAACCAGTCCAGGGCGTCTCACCGAATGAAGCTAGCACCAGTCACCTGTCACACACATTCCTCATCAATGTGACAAACAGTTCTGTGCCTTACTTCGTGCCTTCTCAAGTCTTTCTGGCGTCTTTGGGACAGCAAGCGTTAGGCGCGCTGCGTTTGTGTGACTGTCCTCTCTCCTTGAACATGCCGCTGGCTTCAGCTGGCGGAAAGTCCAGGACAATGGGTGATTGTGAGGGTCAAAGGGAGTTCCTCCAAAAAAAAAAAAAAATGGAGACGACAATGGGCACTCACAATAGTGAATGGGCTCTGCCATGTCTACAGACGTTTGTGCCATTTTTTATATTAAAATAATCTTATCAAGATCTTACAATTGCAGAAAATAATTGTTCTCTATTCAGCTGGTACTTAACTTTATTGAAAGCATATTTTTGTGTCTATTTCTCCCACTATTTCTGCTATCATAACCTAAATACCAGTGAACTGTTTCCACCCCCAATAAAAGCAAAACTTTTATGTGTAAAAACACAAAAATATTGTAAAAGACAAGGGATAACAACACTTCTTTCTCTGATGAACAGTGTCACACATTGACTCCAAAGGCTACATATCATTAATTGTGTTTTGAATGTGAAAAGGAGGATAAATTGTTTTAGAGAGCAGGATTCAAGATGTAAAAAGTTGACGAAATACCGGGAATACCTGGGAATAAATTATGAAAAGATTCTACCAATATTTAGTTTCTTTTTTAGATGTAAATCCACCTAGAAGTTCTTCTAACAAAAACCTCCAATGCATGAGGAAATCGATGAAGAACTTGACATGTTATATAGTTCTATCTGGATCATATTGCATCATAATTTGCATTTTCATTTTTTATTTTCAAAATGATATGTTCAACATATAGCATGTCATATCCTAATAGATGATATGCAGAGGTGTGATACAAATAAAACAGCCTTGAAAAACAAAAGTTAAATTCTGTTAGATATGTAAGTATGTATCTTGAAAGATGCAGAGGCAATAAATTTGTCTGGCACGAATGCAAGCATAATTATTAGTCGATTGTCTTCTTCGGTCCCCTGACCAATAACTAGAGTTCACTTGTGTGTTACCTAAATTCAGTAGAAATAAAGACTGTCCAATGAAGGCCTGAGAGGTTAGAAAAAAAAGCTGCATCATGAAGACCCAAAAACATGGCAGAAAAATCAGGGATATAGATGTGGACAAGTTTAAAGACCCATAAACTCCCGTTTACAGACACTGCATCCTGTCTAATTGAGCTTGAACTATTTTACAAAGAACATACCCATTATCCAAAATATCCTTTACTTTGTGTTGGTTCTTCACACATAGTCCTATCCAAACTTGTGACTGAAATGGGACAAAGTTGTAAAAATATGAATACTTTTAAATGTAATTCTGTGACTTACTGACTGGGTTTGGCGTACATGTCTGGTGTTAACAGCTTCACGCTCAATAGGACCCAGAGTTTTTTTTTTCTGATTTATTACATTTTGTTGCACCCTTCAAGCACAAAACACCACAAAGTGCGTTAATATTTCCAGTTGGGTCTGGTTATATTTTCCAAACTGCCCTTTGTATTTCCTCATTGTAACCTCAAAATCATAACCGCTAAGCAGAAAGTTATTTAGATATCGCAATGCTTTGACAGCTCAGCTGCGGTGTGCTGTGTTGATTTCATTGTGCAGACGAATCGTCTGAAGGAAATGTGATGCTGGGTGATTGAGTGAGAAGAGCAAAAAGGGAAAGACTGAGAAAAAGCAGGAAGCTGCAGTGGAATTTCCACACCCTTATGTGGGTGGATCCCGCTTGCCTTAAAGGACGGAGTAGGCACATTTCCCCCTCTGTTTCTCTCTTTTTCTTCTATGCGTTCCCCTCCCTCCCTACTTTCTCTCTTTCGTTGGATAATAGAGGCCATGTTGAAACAATACAGAAAGGAAAGGCTGTGGGGTGCTGTGGCAGCAAATGGAGAGGTGGTCCTCACAGCCTTTCTTTGGAGGGTGAGGTTTGAGGGGGTTTGCAGGGGTATGTATAGAAAATTGGCTGGGATAAGGGTGAAGGGCTATTTAAAATAATGATGTAAGATGGGAATCAGGGGTGTAAAGCAGAGGGAGGGGCTGCTGGTGTAAAACATACTACAGAAACATGGCCTGGGAAGGGCAAGAGTAATGTTTTTGTGGACCTTAAATATTTTTCTGGCTGGCTGAGCCTAAAAGTGGTCATGTTGCGTCATAAAAAAACCCAACTTTTCCTTTTGCTCAAATAAAATCTACTTAGCAATAGTGTTTTGACATGCTCCCGTTTCATCTAATCATTACATTTGAATATATCACAAGGATATAATGAAGATTTCATCCGACGTTTTCATGTGGACGAGTAATTTCCGCTTAAACCTAATAACTGGTTGAACTGCTGTTTGTAGCAACAAAATCCATCAGTAGCAGGTTTTTTAGATCCCTGTGAATACATTTTATCCAACTTTTCTTTGTGAATTGTTTTAATTCTACACTACGACGAGTTAAAAGTCTTCTATTTGACAGCATCGCAATCAGATTTACATCCAGAACTTAAGAAGGCCACTACAACGTTGGAACTTAAATTTTTTGCTCTGAAAATAGTTTTCAAGTTTGCATCTTTATTTTTTAAGAAAAATGCACTTATGCTTTTCAGTTTCTAACTGCATTTTTTTTTTAATCTGCAACATTTTATGTTTTAAAATATACATGACATATATTCTCTGGTTGTCCTGTCTTGTTTTACAAAAATAAACAAGGTAACATGGCACCATCTTGTGGCGCTTCCGAAGTACTACAGGTATATGTTTAGTATGCAAGGATAAACCGTCTCACTATGACCTTGTAATGTTTCCTTATTTAGCTTACTGGGGACGTCAGTGTGAGTTTGTTGCATTTACACGTTGCGGCCTTGAGTTCTCACTTATAAAGCCTGAAATTGTTTCTGCTGAAAGCTACATTTTCATGAATATTCATCATACCGTTTAGATTCGCGCCTTTGCGTTATTTTCACCTTGCAATGTAGATGATGTTAATAAGTACCCCACTTGGTGTTTATCTGGTAGCGGGAGCGAGCATCGCAAGAAAATCGCGCGTGCACGGTATATTGCAGACGTGGGGTGTTTGGGGGCGTGTGAGCGCGTGGAACTGTCACGGGGGCGCGGATATAAATCCACGGCTATCCGTTGCCAAGGCGAGTTGGCAGTACGTCGTATCTGAGCTAGGCGTGCAAAGTAATTTTCCAGACCACCAAGCGGACAAGGACGCGTTTTCCATCTCTCAGCATGGGGAACCTTGCACTCTCCACCAGGTAAAACATGAAATGAATCGTTGCTTTGATATGATTCAGGAAAATGAGGACAGGTTGCTAATTTATCATTTTGAGATGCGGTGGGAATGTATTAACACGCTCCGAGTTCACCGCATCCAGCCTTACATTTAGCTTCAATTGTAAAGGCGAAGAGCTTCACAAGCTGCTTCCTTCCCTTTGTTGGCATTTGGTTATCAAGTCTTTTCAGGAATTCAAGGACCTACAATAGGCCGATATGAAAAGCAATCTTGGTCTATTTTTAGAAGACCATTGCAGTTAAAATCCCAAGAATTGGGAGAAATCAAAAGCTGACATGGAGCTGTATACGTTTAGGCTGCAGACAAAAAACCGACTAGTTTGTATGCGTCGCAATGGCTGCACCAAACCTAGAGGTTCTGAATGCTGAAATGTTGAGATAGTTTGAAAATTTTACTTTGGTTAGGTTTGAACGTGGTAATTAAACTACGTGTTTTTCGGTTAAATGTAAAAGAGAAGACATTGCAAACATTTTCTAGACATACATATGGAAAAAAAAGGTTGAATTTGGGAGGTTATGCTGATTTGCTGATTGTGGGGAGCCAAAATCAACGCTGTTTGGGCAAGGAGCCTTTTATTGCATCACTTAATTATTTAACAGCAGTCTGATTTCTTTTAGTCTTGCTTAACAACTGTAATACACATTAGGTAATCACATCTTATGAATTGTTCACATTGTTCTGCTTAAATAACCCTTCATTAGCATACTTGTGATTTGACTTCGCAAGTACTGGGTCATTTTATTTACAGTAGTAGTGGTAGAAATGAGTAGTAATAATAATTATAATATTACTTGAAATAATGAAACAGGAATAAACAAATATGTTAGTAAGATTATGCCAACTGCTATTTTGTTACAAGTTATTGTATTTTGGATCCAAAATCTTTTACAGAGTGAAGAAGTTTTCCACATCTTTCATGGTGAAACACACCTGTGGGATGTTATTTTAATGCTTGTTTTATTAATCTGTTTTATAATAAAACCTAAATAAATATGTTCCAAAAATGTTTTTTTTATCATCTTTTAGTATATCTTTAAGAGAAGAGTTGTATTGTTTATTTTTTTTCCTGTCTCAAAGGAAAAAAACAATATTACAGCATTTGGCACCAAAGTAGTGTTATAAGGTAACAGAATTTTAGATATTGTTCACATCAGTCAAAACTTACTAAACAGTTTGACATTTTAGCAATTCATGGCTCACTTCAAGTCTAAACTATTATTCTTTCATTTTGGAGTTTATCTCAAAATGCATAGCTCAAAGAAAAAACCAAAAAGCTTAAGATGTTGCAAGGTAACATCTTAAGACTATTATGAAATCTGACTCATCTCCTTCTTTTTCAGTCTTTTCAGGACTGATGCAACCACGTCTGAACCAGACAACTCAGGGAAGTTTGTAACCAGGAGAATCTGCAGTGGTATCATTTATTACTACACTCCAATGACAGCAGCGGAGCACCAGACAGTAACCCTTGCCAAAGAATCTCAGGCCACATTAACTCTGCTCCCCGCCTCGTCTCCAGTGTCTTTAGAAACGCCTTCCCACACGGCTGCTTCCAATTCTCGCCCTCTTCTCCTATTCTTCTCCTGGCTCGGCGCCCAACCTGGGGCCGTGGCAAAGTACAGGGACCTTTACCTTGACCGTGGTATGGATGTCCTCCTCATCCAGAGCAGCGTAATGCACTTCCTTTGGCCTCGATGGGGCCTCAGCTACGGGTTGGAGATTTTGAATATGTTAGAGGAGCCTCCTTTCACAGGAAGACTCATACTGGTGCATGCTTCTTCCATTGGTGGCTATACTTTCACGCAGCTGCTCACCCACATTGCTCAGCATCCAAAACAACACGCTCCTCTGGCGCATAGAGTGATAGGGCACATTTATGACAGTCTAGTGGTCGGCTCTCTGGATCACATGGCAACAGGTGAGTGAGAGTGACTCAGATTACTTTTGTGTTGTGTGTCAGAACTCTCTATAATTAATTAACTGCTGACCTACTGCCCCAAGTACAGGATTTCCAAGTTTTTATTTTTTTTTCCTATTTTAGGACACTAATCTGTTTTAGTAATCTAATTTAATCCAAAGTAAATATTCCAATACTTCAACACATGAGATTTAGCTCTCTTATTGTCCATTTATTTACTTGGGTAATGATTTTTAAGACTAATAACTCAAATAAAACTGCGTGAAATTTCCGTTTGAACTCTAATTGACTGTGAGTGATGCCTTCTGTGACTCTGTATGCAAATTATAAGCAGTGCCTCGCAAAAGTATATATATTTCTTGAACTTTCCACTACTTTCATAACTACAAACAACCACAAACTCAGATGTAATTTATCGCAATTTTATATGATAGATTAACAGGACGTAGCCTATAATTGAAAAGTGTATTCCGTTTTTGACTTTTATTAGCCTCTGACCAGGTTCTCCATCTCTACACCATGATACTGCCATCACCAAATTTTACAGGGGTGTTGGTCTGTTTAGTGTGATGTGCAGTGTCAGTTTTCCACCAAGTTTTCTTATGTTGTTTTATAGACATGCACCGCTTTAAACTTCTCTGCCATTTCATTCCTGACCTGCCTGCTGTGTCTCTTGGTCTTCATGACAACAAGTAGTCTTGTTTGTGAAAACCACATCTATTTGGTCTTTACACAACTTGTGATTGTAGCTTGACATTATCTAAAAATGTTCAACGCAATCAGAACTTTTGCAAGGCACTGATTATTTATCCTGTCGTTTTTGTGATTAGAAGTGGTGTACTGTCCAGTGAGTGCATGCCATTGCAGGAATAATGCAACACTACATTTACATTATTCATTTAATTGTTTTTCAGGCCTTGGGAAGACCTTGGTGCCACGTTTAGAGGGATTCGTCAAAACCACCGCCATGCTCTACTTCAGGCTCTTCAAGTCGTACACTGCAGACTTGTACGAGAACAGCATCCAGGTTTTCCACAACAGCCCGGTTACTTCTCCAGCCCTCTTCTTCTTTAGCGAAAACGATGCAATGTGCAGCACGACTGTCCTGGAAAAGCTGATGGACTTGTGGAGGCGGAGGGGAGTTTCTGTGGACGGCAGGAAGTGGAAGAAGTCAACACATGCCGCCCACCTGCGATGCCACCCAGAAGAGTACGTTTCCACATTGCAGCAGTTTTTGAACTCCCTGTCTGTTCCTTCCCATAAATCTAACATTTAAACTCTGTGGCAGATTCTAAGTTTCAAACATTTTCACTTATTTCCACAACATACACTGCTAGCTCAAAGAGAATGCACTTTAACTATTTTCATATTATACCTCTGATTTTTTTAAAAATGTAACTGTGAAATATTTTCTTCGCCATCTTTACTTTTGTCATTGTAATTGAGATTACATTTGAAGTGTTTATGAACGTACTGTAACACTTGTTTATCTTGCACAATAACTATTTTATTTGTTGATAAAAATACATACTGCACAAATTAAAAAAGAATTTGGAAACTATATGTGAGCTTTACATGTGCAAATATTTATTTTTTCATTATTTCAGATGGAAAATAGCCATGCGTCTTCACTTTCCTGTATGACTGTTTAGGTTACTATGGTGAACAAATTTCATTATTTTAAACCTGTTTGTATCACCAGTGAGTAATCTGAATTAATACAAGAGGGAGAAGAGGGCTGGCTGGAGGCCATTGGTGCAATCAGTGACAGGATACTAAAGGGGTTTTGTCCCAGTTTACTGAAGTGAGTCCATGGAGGCGGAGCCTATATCAACCAGTGATAAAATAGGTCAGAAATGCAGTGACCAGATGTACAGAATATCGGTCCATTAGGATGAGTGTAGAGATTATGGTCTTTTGTTCAATGTAAAATGCTTCACTGAGCACAGGCTCATAAAATGCACTTCTTTTTTGAGTGAAGAGAAAAGCACACAAAGCCCTTTTACACTGGGAAGAAAAAGGTGTCTCAATTAATTGCATCTGAAGATTATACATTTTACTTCCATTGCTTTGCTTTTTTACGCTCAGTTTGAAGCAGATTCTTTAGACGTCGTCACAATGTCCTGATGCCCCGCTCAGCAGTGGCGTGCTTCTTGTTTGAGCATTCTAGTCGTCGCTAATAGATTAAATTGAACTCATTAAAATTTTGTTTTTTCTCTCTCATTATAAACATAGTAGCCCAAATCTCTAGCAGGTAAGTCTAGCTTTACCTGTTGTCCTACTATTAACTGAATCTGCAAGCTTTCCACTCAAAGACTCCTGACCAGTTTATGTTTCTGTACTGCATTAGTAAGTGAAGGTCAGTTTTTAGGGAACATGCCAGAGGTTACAATCGCCTCTGCTGGACGTGAAGCCACATGTTGGATTTAGCATCAGATAGCGGCTGCACTTAGTGATGTCAATGACCTACTTTTGATGAGAGAGACTTGGTGAACAGCTATGTCTGAACTTCAAAGAGGTTATTTATGTCTATGAAAAATCTTTTGATGTTTAGCCTCTTAACTGGCATGAGGTCACCAGTGTCTGAAAAATAGTTTATAATTGCTATAAACAACAAATTATTAACATTGTTTTTCTCATTATATATATATATATATATATATATAAATAAATAAAAAATATGTTGTAGGAAAATGTTAGGAAATGTAGGAAAATGTTGGGAAAATGCTAGTGTTAGTTTAACAAATTTTCCCCACTGCTGACATTTAGCTGTAAGATGCTTACTGGAGTTTCTTGGATGCACAGCATTTTTACATGTTACTTCAGCGAAGTCTAGGTCTCTGCTTTGACTGGAAACAAGACTTCTAATGTTACTTAAAAATTTCAGTCACTGTCATGTCACAGGGCCCAGTTCTGCTGGGAAAAAAAATTCTTTTTTTTTTTTTTTTTTTTTTTCCCCATACGCTTTCACATTTTACAGTTTAGATTCCTTTTCTGGTAGGCTGTATTTGGTTTATGGAAAATGTCCTCTTTTATGATGTCCAAGTAATTAATTTTTTCAATTCATCAGTGCAAAGGACACCATTCCAGAAGTTGATTTTTATCGTTCATATTCTCTCTGGTAAACTTCATTCTGGCCTTCATGCCACAGAGGGGTTAAGATGCATGGAGCCCTTGAATGTGACAGTTTATTTATTCAGCTTCTGATGTCTTAAGTGTCTATGATAATTATTAGAAATCTCTGTACTGTAATAAAATCAAATAGACAATAAAGTCATGCTGCAAAAGCCTCATGAAATGAAGATCATGTTGACTATTTAACAATGCATTTGTTTAACATTAATAAAGCACTTTTAGTTTAGTGGTGGTAAAATGTCTCACCTTAGTGAGCCATGCTTTTAAAAACAAATCTAAAATCACCACAAAAATAACTACATTAAAAAGCATTAACTTTTCACTTTAAATAAAGTGCCACTTTTAACACATTTGTTTTTCACGTTTGCTTTCAACAGTTTCTGCCATCGCTTTCAGTAATTATCCCATTTGTAATAACAAAGCAATAACTCACAATCCAATCATACTCATAGATAGATAAATACTTTATTCAGTATAATAATTTAGGCTATTATATGTTTTAAACAACAAGTACACTTTCATGTAAACATTTTCTTCAAATAAAATATATTTTAAGCTTAACTATTAAATAGTCAACAGTCTGTAAAAATCAAAACATCTATTCATAGAAAATATAAAATATATATACTGCATTTTCAAATAAAAAAAAAACATTTTTAGGCACCACTATTGACATCATTGCAGCATATTGCATTTGAAATCCATGTGCGTTCGTCAGCAAACCTTAAGTTTCTCCTTATTTGGAGGGAGGTTCTCCAGGTAGTGCTGCACCTTCGCCAGCGTCACATAGTGCTGGCTGTCTGGGAACAAAAGCTCCCTGGGCTCCACACTCGGTTTGTCCTGGATGGGGCAGTCCAACATTAAGGCGAGAGAGCGCACCCTGGAGTCCAGGCTGGAAACGTCAGCTTGAATCTGACTCAGGCGATTCGTGAAGGGGCTCTGCAGCTCGTCATCTAAATGCCCGAGGTAGAGGCTGATATCAGTTAATCCGTTCATGGGAGGAGTGGAGACTTCCACCTGTAGGGGCGTCTGCCACAGAGGAGAGTAGAAAAATATATGAGTAAATGTTAGTTATGATGCTTTTGGTTGCTATTTCTAATGGGGTGAAGAAATCTTGCTCATAGAAACCCATTTAAAACATTCTAATGCTTGAATCACGATTCATACCTTGTTGTTTAGTTTGTTTATGTGGACCAGGGTTATCTGAGCAATGTTTACTATACTGTGTATGTTGCTTCTGATGGAGTCGGTCTTTGTTGGAAGACTTGAGCACTCAGGAGCTGCCATTAGAGAGACGAACAACAGGGCCAGAGGGACGCACATCTTGAAAAATGAACTGGAAAAAAAAATCATGCATAGACGTTACAAACAATAGATTCATTCATCTCCAAAGAAACTAATGTTTTTACATTCTTACATTTTAGCATTTCATTTTCATTGTTCTGGGGGGGTTTTTTTTGGTGCAATTTAAATCTAAGCTAAATATAAAGTGTTTAAAATTCAACCTTTCCTGATAAAAAACAGTCCCTTTGGTCACATCATAGTCCTTACCTTTGTTTTTCAACCTCTGGTTGTCCTCCAGTGGCAATGAATGAAAGCAACAGCACATCCCTTTTGCAGATCTTATTTAAATAGTCAGCTTCCGTCATGAATCCTGTCTGGTCTTGCATGGGTCTTTTCCCCTCCTACCTCTTTCCCCTTTGGCTCAAACCTGAGTCTGACCCTGCGAGGCTAATCAGCACTCAAAACTTTGAGCACTACAGTTTTCTTGGTATCGAGACACTGACTCAGTTTTTTGGAACCCACACACATCCTGTGATTTTTGTAGTTCTGGTTCCTTATGTCAGTGTAATTTACTGGAATAAGTGCAGATAGGGTAGGGTAGGATATGGTCATGTGATGCATCAGTTGTGATAAAGGCGATAAGGCACGGCGAAACTGTACACGACCCTGGTAAAATGCCTGTTTTTTGTGATTTAAAAAATTAGACCACGGCACTTGTAATTTGACGTACGGGTGAAGCAAGTTAATTAAAAACGTCTGAAAAGAGACACGACATGAAAAGGTGCAGTTGCGTAATTGTGACCACCCGTTAAGTAGCTGGTTAAAACACCTTGTTTCGTTTTAGTATCCACAGGCTCACATAACTCATCAATTATAGAAAAAAAACCCTGATGACTAAGAAGTAAAATTCACCTGTTTTATTGGGGTTTTCTAAAGATTTGCTCATCAAAGCCTTTGTTTGCAGGAAGGTTACAGAAGAGCAAAAGCATCTCATTGTGCAACCGTATCGCTTAGAGAAATCTAAAGCATTATTGCATACGATATACTGTGAAATGCATTTGCTCAGGAATTTCAATCACTTTCATGATCACACATGTATAACCTCAGCATGCAAACCATTTCTACAATGCATTGGACTCCACCTGTGCAATTAATCCTTTAATGAAATGTCTTTGCTTCTGTATGTTCTACTGTCGAGGATGTTGAAGTGCAGAGTGGCTAGAAGTCGGATACTTTCTGAAGAGTTAATAGCTACAGACCTCCAAACCTCACATGGCCTTCACATTAGCTCAAAAACACTGAGTTAGAGAGCTGGAGTCTTACTTCACCAAGCCCAGTCAAACCATTGAACTCATTGGAGTAAAACATGTGATCACAGGACTGTAAAGCAATGGAGATGTTTTATTTTGTGGAGTGGGGAATCATTCTTCTGTATGTTCAGTGAAGTAGGCATGAGTGCATTTACAGTTGTGGTCAAAAGTGTACATACACTTGTAAAAAATCATAATGTTATGGCTGTCTTGAGTTTCCAATA